TTAAAAAATCAGATGATCAACCTAAACGGTCGAAAACACCTACTCCTTCAGATAATAATAATAACTTACAACCAAATAAAGTACAACCTGAACAAAAGAATTTAGTTAAAAAATCAGATGATCAACCTAAACGGTCGAAAACACTCACTCGTTCAGATAATAATAATAACTTACAGCCAAATAAGGCACAATCTGAACAGCAAAAGAATTTAATTAAAAAATCAAATGATCAACCTAAACGATCAACAACACCCGTTCCTTCAGATAATAATAACTTACAGCCAAATAAGGCACAACTTGAACGACAAAAGAATTTGATTAAACCAGATAACTTTATTGAAGAACTATTTTATGCAGAACTTTCTTTTGAAGTTTCATCAGAAACAAAGAAATCGGAACAAATAGAAGAAATAGATGAATCTGAAGAGGCATTAATCGTTGAATGGTTAATTGGTACCGGTTTAGTATTTGAAAAAGCCAGACCTATCATCCAAGATGAACTGGTTTAATATTTGAACAATCATCCGAGATGAACTGGAGGAACCGTCCTCTCTTACACAAAATGCAGAAACTTGCAGATCATCTCCGTTAATTTCCATATTGATCAACGTCACATGTTAACTGGTACCCCTAAAAAAAATGTATCTTACATTATAATTAAAGCACAGAATCAATAACAAAGTATTTGTTTTTTTTTTTATTTTTAAAAAATTGTATATTAACATTGTTATGCACTTATTTTTATTAAGGGTTTAGCAGCGCTAAAATAAAGTGTCTTCAACTATATTGCTAAATCTTTAACGTTCAAAAATTTGAACAAATTGTTATTATTTTATAAATATGTTCTATATTCATATCAGATTGTTAATTGCTTTTTGCTTTTTATATATGATATATTTCTAATAACTAGATATCTCATGTATTAATTAATGTATATCCGATATATTATAATAACTAGATATTATCTCCTGTATTAATTATATCCGATATATTATAATAATTAGATAGGTATCTTCTGTATTAATTATAAAAAAAAATTTTAATATGTATACAGTCAACTCTCATTATAAAAAATCGAACTGGTTATTCTTATAAGAAAGTTTTTATTGAGTAATTTTTTGTTATGTCTTTATATTATGTCCACTACACAGAGTTGACCGTAACATAATAGCAAGATTTGACATTATTGTATGATAGTTACCTTTTTTCATAGGCATCATTTTTACAGGCATCATTTTATTGTTGTCGTTATTAATTATGAGCTTTAATTATGATACAAGTTACATTTTTGATAGGTGATATTAGAATGGCTAATTAAATTAGTATAAATCTAACTGAAGTAATATCTTTTCGCGATAAAAAAAATACTTTTAATCGAATTATGAAATAATTGCATATAAATATGATTTAACAAATGATGTAATCGAAGTAATAAATATTTAAAATAAATTTTACAATTTAAAAATATTTTTGTTGCGTGTTCTAATGAATTTACCACCGTTTTAGCAATCATCTGTTACTTCGTCTATATTTGAGTCGTTACAATCTTCTTTGATGGGTTTCCTTTTTGCATTGTTAAACATTTAAATTGGCATTGATTATCGTAATCGTGTCTATATGTAAGGATGATGCCATCAATCGAAGAGTTACTGTAATCGTTGCAGTGGAGTTTTTAATGCAACAAATCCTCGTGGAAGATGGCCGTCGGATGAAAAATGACATAACCGATTTACAAATTATGGACAGTTCTCCTTGGAGGCCTATTGTAATTGATATCACTCAAGTCTCAGAGTCGGAAAGACGAAAATCCTTTGATTGAGAAACGAAATCTTTGATAGACAAACAAAAATCTTTGACAGAAAAACGAAATGCTTTGATAGAGAAACGAAAATCGGTAAATGATTCAGAATACAAAGTATGGTGTAGGTCTCAAATCAAAAGATCCTAAAGTTTCTACACATTTGCACCCAAATAATGGTTTAAAAATTGTCAAGGCCGTTCAAAGTTGATTAACGTCATCCCCTCTCGATTAACTGTTCCCCCAAAATTAAACAAGCCAATCACGCACAGCATAAACTTCATTAATTATGTGATTAAGGGTGACCAATGAGATTTGATCAAATATTCTTGGGAACATATGTGTTTGTTTAAATTTTCCCTCCCCCCCCC